CTTCAGAGTTCCTTCCGTTTGTGGTACTGGATGTAGGCTACAAGGGCCTCTGAAAAAGCTCGCCATTACTTTTTATTTTTCAAAAGATGATATCGCCTTTTGATGGTTGCATATAATAAAATATCTTCATGCTCGATCTCCAATTTCTCACTAGGTGGTTTCTCTTTATTATTGGATTTTGTTTCCTTTGGAGAATCCTATTGGATCCGCTACTGGCATGGTTAAAAAACACTTGATTATGTATGTATTCACCAGGAGTGTATGTGTAATTGTAGCCATGTTGCTTGGCAACCGTGTCCATTTACAGACCACTATAGGACACGTAACAGCCGATGATGTCATGATACTGAAATAGAAATGGTCGTTTTTGGCGGTGGAATCCATTCAACAGTTTTTGTATTGTTTTAATGACAGAAGCCTGCATGCGCTCATTCAATCTAAAATCCGATACTGTCGTCTCTTCCTTCTTTATGTATAAATTATAACCATATAAGGTAGTATATACCTACACATAAAAAATTACAAAACTTCAGTTCAGACTATTGACCGGTCTAGAAAACATTGAACACTTGGAATTATTTGGAAACAATCAGGGAAGAATATTTGGATCTTTGGGTGCCAGAGATTTGAAAAAAAAAATAAAAAAAATTCTTGTCCACTTACTGTTTTTTTTTTCCTTTAAATTATGGGATTTTAAATATACTGAAATACCTACCTACAAAGAAAACTCAGGATATTCAATAACTCATTATAATCTGACCCCCTGTACATAATTTCTTTACTTTACATAACTGTCGGAAACAGTTTGACCATAGGTTTTAATTCTAATTTTTTTTGTGGAAATAGTTATACATATGTAAATGGTACAGACACAATTTTAATCCTACAGTTAGATGATCGTAATTTATATAAAATAATATGATTAAAAAATTAAATACAAAACCCAATTTGGACTGCATCAGTACTTTCAAAGACAACCAATTAAAATACCTACTTATAATATGTATACACATATTTAATTTGACTCATACCACTAAAAGCTGTTTTTATTATTCAAACTATTTGTAAAATAATATACATTTACCATACTGCGAAAGTATTTTAAATTTCTGGCACTAACATTTTTGACTTGCACTTGTTATGCTTTAGAAAAGAATCTATGCCAAAATGATAAAAAAAACAAGTCGAAAACTTGTTATTTGTAAAAACCTACGCATATGTGTTGTAGCTTCATTTTATTTGATAGAGTTACGTAAGTAGGTACTCGTAATATTTGCTGTTTAAGAGGTGACCAATTCTGCTTGTCCCCCTTGACCTAGGTCACTCAACGAAACTTGAAATGCATATCAAACATGTGCAAGTGAATTTCTTTTTGTACATACAGGTAAAAATACACAGGTTTTGTTTATTTCTGAGTTTTCTATTTTTATATAACGGTTCTTAGCCTTTTGACTAACCAAATTGACAATCTCTTTTCGTATTGTCCTTAGTATTTTGCATATTATTAATGGTTCTTTACAAATACTTAATGCAAGGATCATTAAGGATTGATGGTCAATTTCTAAAGGAGGTCATATAATATCTTTGACATAGTTAATGATTTTTGAACGTTTTTTTTTATTTTAAAAAGACACATCCATATACTGTATGAAAAAATTAACTAACAAATCACATGCGTCCTTAGAGTAATAACCAAATTTAATAACAGATTTATATGACTTAATTTTGGCAGTATCAGCTGTTTGTTTTATGTATTGTCATATTTTATTTACCAACGTACCTAAGCGATTTTGAGAGCCAAAATGTTATTTTAGATTAATTATTTCTGAAAATAATTTGGTTTTTCTGTTGATGGGTATAGCCAAAATACCAAGCAAAAACACTGCCAAATAACTATAATGTAATTGAAGATATAACTTCTTGTTTTGTAATACGTAAATTGCCGAAGTAGATAATTTAATTTCGTCTGTAATTGATCTCATTCATTTGCATTTATTATGTTTGGCTTCCGCGTGGAGATAATCAAATTTTAAATGGTAAATACTCATTTTAATGTGCCTCATAATTAAACGAATTATGCCATTGGTCATTATAAATACATATTACGCTGTTCATTCTCGTGGAATATTTTAGAAGTTTTATCATTTGAAATCAGATTGAACATCAATGACTAGACATCTCGACTTGTTCTATTGAATACAAAACGTTTACGATTGTTATTGTTGTCTTGCGTTTGGTTTTGTTCAGTTTTGGCCCTTCTCCTACCGAGACTGACAATTTGTTTTTCCTCCCTGTAGCTTGTAGGGGGGATGAAGGCCTTTCCCTGCCTAGACCTTTGTTGTGTGTCCCCAGTCCTTATAGCAATTTATTTCTTGATTAGACTGCTGCAGATGCATACAGCAGGTTCTGGCAGAGGTGTTACTTCCTCCTGAAAAGGAATGGCAAACTGGCCTAGTGAAAATGAAAGCCTCCTCTTACTTGAGCGGTTGTAAATGCCACTTCCACTCCTTTCCTTGTTTCTAGGCCCATCCGTGGCCCATAGGTCCCCGTCACAAGGGATAGAAACGTTTTCCGAAAACCAGTTCTCCTTAGAAGAGAAGCTGATACTGTATTTTTTTAAGAGGAAGAGGGTCTTTGTGCGGTTAGGGAGCATCTCAAGGACTTTTTCGATGATCACATCCTTGGAGAGTTCAAAGAGCTTCTCTTCCCCTCTGTACATGTTTCCTATAAAGGGCCTTAATTGTGGCCGCTTTGAGGGTTACACTGAAGGGTTTAGTTCTGAGGAGCATCTCCAGAGCCGCCGTGGGCGTAGACTTTCCCGCCCCGGTGATACTCTTTGGCAGTAGTCCTCTCAATTTCTGAAGCTCCCTGCTAAATACGGAAAGAACAGCCCTGCTTCACCAGACTAACGCATCATAGGTCAGCGTGGGTTTCAGTACCGGCTCAAAGATCCATCTCATGGTAGTCGGTGTAGGCCCTAGTCTCTTCCAACTACCTTTCTGACTTGTCAAAAGGCAGGCTGAGAGCCTCTTGTTTAGGAAATCCAGGTGTTTGTTTTTTTGGGACAGTTTATTGTTTAAAATTACCTCGAGTTCTTCACTGAATTTTGTATCTGGAGTTCCTGTCCATGTTCCCATTTGTATTTCCTTGTGAACACAAAGACTTTTGTCTTTCTCGGATTGATGGAAAGCCCAGAGTCAACGAACCAGGTTCTACAAGGGTGATTGCCCTTTGACGGAAATCCATAATAGTGTCGAGAAAGGGGCCTCAAACGATGATGATTGTGTCAATAGCGTAACCTATCACCTGGAAGCCCTTTCCCGATAGCTCTACTAGGAGCTCATCGACTGCTATGCATCAGATGAGGGGCGATAGGACGCCCCTCTGAAGGAATCCTGAATCCATCCTTCTCCATACACTAGATCGTCTTTTAGTGGTCCTGATGAGTCGATTTCTCAGCGTTTGGTCGATTCACTCAGTTATTAAGGAGGGAATATCGTGCCTGTTTAATGTCGTATTGATTACCCTCTTCGAAGTGTGATTGAAGGATTCTTTAACGTCCATGAGCAAACCCATTACGTATCCTTTTATTGGGGTGGATTGGAGCGACCGGTCCTGTATGCGTGCTGATCCATGTGCAGATTTTTCTCTTTTAAGACTGAAACGATTGTTGAAAGATTCGTTACACGACCAATTATTCCACAGTCGTAATGAGGAAGAAGTAAAGTTGATGGGCCTAAAATCCTTAGCGGAAGTATGACCCCATCTGCCAGCTTTCAAGATAAAAGCCGCATGCTTCTAGCAAAGTTGTAATTACTTTAGAAAAATGTTTAGGTAGAATTTCGAAAATCTACAAATGACTAGCTTTTTATTATACAGCTGTAGTCTCCACTAGGTCCGTTAGGTTTCTTCTACCGTTTACAGTTGGAGTCGCTCAAAATCCTTTTTCAGAAATGATAGAAGTATAAAAAGAACCCATTTGATAATTCATTTTTTAACTTAGCATTGCCATTATTTAAAAAATAAAAGAAGAGAAATAATTCAAAAATGACAAGGCTGACTTATTTTTGAATAAATTATGTGTAGAAGTGTGCCAATTTGTTTCTTGTTGATAGCGAATTTTATGAAGTATTACATTAGAACACGTCGGCACATCATCAGAACTTTAGTTCATTATTTTTTTTTAAATGGCGGACATGACACTTCAACCAACTGTTTTAAAAATTTTTGGTAAATGTCTAGATGATGGCCCCCACCCCCTTCGGGTGGGTGGGATCGAAAGAGGAGGTCTCCCCCACCACTGTACCATAAAAAGTTCGTGGCGGTCTCACAACCATAAAAAGTTATGGGGGTTGAAAGATGATTATTTTGACAATTTTCATACAATATAATTCAAATCAAATTCAATAAAAAAAATATTTTCAAGCGGGTGGAGGTAGGAGATCGAAAGAGGGTGGTCACTTGAACAAAATACGATAACCTAACCTAACCTACCCTATTGTTAAAGATATTTAAATAATGTTTTATATAACTTTCTCAGTATTTTTATGTATTTTTCATTAGTTTTACCTTTGAATATTGTTTAAGAATGACTATATAAATATTTACATGCCTAGAAATCTATAAAAATTGGCATATTTATTAACTTTGAACTCCCATAACTTTTTATGAGGGTAAGACCGCCACGAACTTTTTATGGTACAGTGGTGGGGAGACCTCCTCTTTCGATCCCACAAAGGGGGTGGGGGCCATCATCTAGACCTTTACCAAATTTTTAATTTTTCTGCAATTTATGTTAAGTCTTAACAGTCAAAAAGTATATATTTTTTGCGATTGTTTTAAAAGTGAGTACAAGTATCTTTTGTAAGCGACTAAAAATTAAAATATAGTGTCAGGTAGTTTAAATATGAGATAAGGGAGTGTATTTTATACATTAATTTAGGCTACGCTTACTTAATATAATAAAAAGTAACTGTCTAACTTGCTTTTTAACTTTGCATGTCTTACGAGTATGAAAAGGTCTCGGGAGGAAATTCAACAAAATCCAGCAGGTTTGTAATACATGTTCTATGCACAATAGTAGTACGTACTGTACATTTTCTAGCGGTACTTACTGTACATTTCCTCGAAGCACTATACCATAAAAAAATATATTGCATGTGTCTAATAACTATATGTATAAGCACATAATCGTAAAACGAAAAATATTTCACACTATGCCCAAAATAATCCCAATGTTTTTTATTCTACTTGTTAATTTATTGTTTTGTAAAAGAATGTATAAGTAATGATATTTAAAAGTGATCTCATTTGTTATTTAAATAATTTGTTTTAAGATAAAATTAATGACGGTTTCTTATTGATGTTATTTATAAAAAATGCTAGATATGGATGTTTAAATCTTTTTGCATAGACACCACCAAGTTTTCCAAAATCTAATTGATCACGAATGAAAATTGCTTCCTAATTATTTCATTAGTAAATTTTATGATGAGAATTTTTAAAATTTATTAGATAAGCTAATGGAACTATGAATTCCATTTTTTTACCCTTATTCCATTGCCTAAAAGATCAAAACTATAAAGGGTTTGCAAATATTTTTTTTTCATGTAAAAACATTGATGTTGGTTTTATATCCCAAAAAATATTTACAAACGACTTTTAACTCTGATCTTTAACGTCAAAGAGTCTATTGTGACATCAGTATTATGTCCTTTTTTCAAATCAAAATGGATGCCAGAGTCAAATTAGGTAACTTGTATAGGAATTGTTTGTTGTTGACCTAAGAAAACTATAACATATATATAAT